TTTTAAATTTTATGCTCATCTTCACCTTATTTAATCAGGAAAAGTTGTTCTCAAGCCTGATGCGTTCCGCAGCTGCCGACCCTCTGCTTGAGTCCCGAAGCCTTGCCATTATTAGTCTTGGGCTAGCCACCTACATTGAGCTATTTCATTTAATGAACCGCCGGCCCTCGTCAAATGATTACAATGATTGCCATAGTGCTTATGCTTCTGCTTCAACAATTTCAAAGGTGACTGCCGACGCACATATAACCAACATTTCAAAGGGCACTCTCGAAACTTCTACAATCACCACATCTGATTTCACGTCTCCTGTCTCCAAAAATAGTCAATCTACAGGCCCCATATATTCGGATGTTCCGCTTGATTCCGATGCGCGAGCAGTTCCTCAGTCGATTGATCTGTTATCCAACTCTCTGATTCTTCTTCTCGCCTGTGTTCGTAGCACTCAATCACAACTTGGCCATCTGGCTGTGATTCAACTACGCATGCTGGCCGAGATGGCCGGCCTGCTTGTAAAGGTCACTCCACAGTTGCCCCTGCTTGTTCTTCAGGCAAGTTTCATTCCTACCTTTATTCAACCATAGTTGCATTCGACTCCAACTTCACCCTTTGCTCTCATATGCTGTCATTTCAACATAATTTCTTTTTTTCATCCATTTGCTTCTTCCTTCTACGCCTTTATTTGTGCACTTTCACCTTTTTAGGTGTACACCTTTCAAAGTAGTAGAACCACTTGCTGTTCTTCAATTAATATCTTGTTCTCTTTATAGTATTTATTCCTATTTTAGACATCTACTTTAACCAGTATTATGATTGGCTAGAACCATCTTTAAATTATTTCCCAATATACCTTCTTTCCTAGAACAGCTTGTCTCATTTTCATATGTCATTATAGCCTTATTAACTCTGCTCTCATGGGCCAGATGCTCATTTCTTGATATTGGGATTATTGGCTTTTGTTAATGCTTTATTTTAAAATTTCTCGCACTTTTTACGATTTATGAGATTACTTTATTAAACTAGCGGTGGAGCCAATGGAACATTGTTAGTACGCATCATTTCTACCGCTAGAGACAAAATTTTAGATCAATTAAAGCTCTTAGTTTGTAATCATATAATTTTGTAAATAAATTTAGGAGGATAGATGTCATGGACGGCATCAAATATAGCTATAATAAAGTTCAGAGTTACTGGGATATTGAATATTCTAATTGTATGGCGCTGCTTTTTTATTCATTTCTAAAGGAACACTGAAAGAAATGCACTCAAACCGCACATGTCTTTGGAATGCTAAGAAAATTTCTCTATTTTCAACTTTTTGCTTTTCCTATTCTTGCCTATAAGATTTTTTATTTAAAAAAGTGTTGAAACATATTTATTAAAAATTTTTGCATTATGTTTATTTTGCTTTTTGGCATTTGCTATTAGGAACATCATCTAAATTGTTTTTTATTTCTTCTAGACTCTCGCTTGGACTCTCTATCGGCTTTGTCGGCCTCATGATGCACCACTTTTTCTAACTAACAAGCGAGTATGTGCGCCTTCTAAATAATGCCAATTATACATAATCACTGACGTCTTTCTACTACTTACCTTTGGCTACATCCCTATGCAATTCGTTTCATACTAGTCAAATTATTTATTCACTAAATATTAATATTAAAAAGCCGCTTGATTCTCATCTATAAATTAGCATAAGCTTTTTTATTATGATTTAAGTAGACTCGCATTTAATTTGCATGTACGGCTACTTTTTTATACATTCACTTCTGCTATTTTTTCTTTTTTTTAGCTTGTCGTCGATTTGATCTATGCCTTGCTTGAATGGTGCATGAGCCTTCCGGTCGAATTTCTAGTTTTTTCT